AATGACCTGAGGAGCTTTCAAACACAGTGATGCCTAGTCACCACCACCCTCCACCTAGACTTTTACTTAATTGGTCTGGGGTTCAGCCTGGGCCTCAGGACTTCTTTTAGAGATCAGCAAGTGTCTTAAAATGCAGCCAAGATTTAAAACAGCTCTAAAAGATTCAGGCTTCAACCCAATACTTATTTTGGTATATGGAGATAACCGATGTGGATTTTTGATCCTCAATTATGCTCATTTTTACACTGTTGTTTGTAATAATGAAAAATAACACTAGTGAGAGAATAACAGCTGCCCTTGAATGCAGGCAGTGAAAGGATATGCATGCAGTCCTCTCCCCTCTCCCCTTCAGGCAGGAGCAGGATCAGAAGGTCCACTCACTATTTTGCAATTTCCTCTCTTCATTTTCTGGAAAGGGCAGTGTCATTCCTTAAAATGTGTCATCCCACCACACAGCACACTTTGTTCCTGCTGTTTGATAACATTCAAAATTAGAATGTTCCAGCAATGGTATCTCTTCTTTCTGTCTGACAAGGGGCTCCTCTCCTCTCCAGGAATCACAGGTTCTGCTGACCTGAGCAGACGAGAGCTTCCAAGTGGACTGACTGGCTCTAGAATAGCATCTATCCAGCTTTAACGCAAATAGGATCACCTGGGGATCTTGTTAAAAGGCACATTCTAATTCTCTAGGTCCGGAGTGGGGCTCTCGAGTCTGCATTTCTCCCAAGCTCCCAGGTGATGCCCATGGTCCTGGTTCATGGGCCACACTTTGACTAGCAAGGTCCTAAAGTCTCTCTATCTTTTCATTTGGTTTTATTCACAGGTAATACAGACTAAATAATTGCGACGACAATGACATTCATAGAACATTTTGTTGATGTGGTATTGAGGAGAAAGGACAGGCCTAGGCTTCTGAAATCACTATGTGTTCTGAGTCTGTTTCCTTTGTTAAATGGAAAACAAAGAGGTTGTACTTGACTCCTGTGGTCCTTTCCAACAGTAAAATTGGTTTGTTTCCAAGCCTTAAAGCTATATAATAATAGTAATATCAGTGCCTTATCTTTAACAGTGTGATACTTCAACTTTACGAGCTTAGTCTAAAAGTGTGACTTAAGTAGCACATGGGCTTCTTGAAATTTCAAAGTCACAGTTTTCTTGAGTGGACATTTGACTTGATGCATGCATCTAATATTTAATGTATTATTATCAAAGTAAGAGAATTTGATTATACTCAGCTACAGGCCTCCTAAGATTTTTCAGTTTAGAAGGATTTCCTTGACATTCCTCTGGCTGAATGGCAGCTATTGTGCTATATTAATTTTGAAAAATAGAACCTAATTTGTTTCACATATAAACATCTAGGGCATTAGTTATTGGATGACAGTAACTCTGAAAGGGCTGTCCTCAGGGGTTTTGATGACATTCACAACTTGCTGAGTTGGATAGGTTATCAAGAAAATGTAATTTTCCAGGGCCATGAGGTGAGGTAGGTATATTTTTGACTTTGCAAGGCCAGTCTGAATCCTTCTTCTTCTCTCCTGCAAACACTCAGCTCCTTTGAGGCTCATGGTACCTCATAATACCCTCTCCCCATGCGCACTGCTGTCATCTACTGATTTCTAGCTTATTCTCTATCACTGGAGACTTTGGCCCCCAGTACATACAGTCTTCCTCTCTAACCCAACAGCTGTCATCCTTCTCCAGTACCTCACCATTCAAGTGGATGAACCTCATGGTCTCTTGTTTCCTTAACTTATTCATCAAAGGCAATGAATCTTTGCCTCCACCCCTGTGGAGTGGTGACTCACTTCCTGATATGTCCAAGCACTATCTCCTAGCCTTCCAATAATCTTAGTCGAACATTCACACTGATAATTCTAGATAGCAGAATAAATCTGATCCACTGACCCTATGACTTTCTCTCCATCGACCTCCTCCTTGTTTCTCTTTACCCATCCTAGATGCCATAGTGTAAATTTATGGTCACTCACTCAAAAAGGTCCTCGACTCTTGTTATGAACTGAATGTTTGTGTCTCCCCCAAATTCATATATTGAAATCCTAACCCCCAATGTGAAGGTATTAGGATGTTCTGCCTTTGGGAGGTGATTAGGTCATGAGGGTAGAACCCTCATGAATGGGATTAGTGCCCTTATAAAATAGACACTAGAGAGCTCTCTCTCCCCTCCCACCATGTGAGGACACAGCAAGAAGATAGCCATTTATGAACCAGGAAGTGGGTCCCCACCAGACACTGAATCTTCCAGGGCCTTGATCTTGGACTTCCTAGCCTCCAGAGAAATAAATATTTGCTGTTTAAGTCACCCAGTCTAGGGTATTCTGTTATAGCAGCTTGAACGGACTAGGGCAACTCTCTTACTCTCCAACATTTTTACCTGGCAAAACTCTAGTCCTAGAAGAACCCTGCTATCCATTTTCACTGTATCTGTATCCAAGTTGGTGAAGGTCGCTGAAGAAAAATCAGACGACTGAGCTCATTAGTTTCATCTTAAATTCATGAGCACCAACTTCACCTCTCAAAGGCCAGTCTGTCCACTTCTGTCCTGGAGACCACCCCTTTTGTCCTCCCAAGGGGATGTGGTTATGATCTCCCCAGCGACATCTCAAACTTAATAGGTTCAAAACAGAATTCTTTTTTTACCGTGACCTGCCCCATTCACCCTAATTTCCCCATCTCAGGTGGGTACCATTACCCACCTGTTGCTCAAGTCAGAAATCTAGGAATCTGGGCCAGCTCCGTGGCTTAGCGGTTAAGTGCATGCGCTCCGCTACTGGCAGCCCGGGTTCGGATCCCGGGCGCACACCGATGCACCGCTTCTCTGGCTATGCTGAGGCGGCGTCCCACATACAGCAACTAGAAGGATGTGCAGCTATGACATACAACTATCTACTGGGGCTTTGGGGAAAAAAAAAAAAGGAGGAGGATTGGCAATAGATGTTAGCTCAGGGCTGATCTTCCTCACAAAAAAAAAAAAAAAATCAATGGCTTCCTGTTGCACTTAGAACCACAGCCACCTTCCTGACCGTGAACTAAAGGCCCTGAATGAGCTAGCCCCTGCTCACCTCTCCAACCTCATCCTGTATGAGTGTTACTCCCTGTGGTCCAGCCACAGTATCCTTTCCAGCCAGAACATTCTTTTCTAGAAGTGGAAAAGACCAGTAACTTCCCCCTCTTGGAACTTTGCACATGCTGTTATGTCTCTTCAGTAGAATGATTCACTCCAGTTTTGTTTTGTTTTGAGCCCTTAAGTTTCCTCTCTAATTATTTTATGTAATTGTTTCTTTACTCATTACTATTTCCCCCGCCAGACAATAAGCTCCTTGAGGGCAGAACCGTGTTTGTCTTGTCCATCACTGCCTCCACTATGCCTGGCACATAGTAAATAGGAATGCAATAAATATTCTTTGTTATTGAATGCATCAAAAAAGTCAGAACCAAAAGAGATGTAATAGGTCTCTAGGTAAGACCCCTCTTCTTTCTGATGGAGACATGTGGGCCCAAAGGGGGTGAGTGATATGTCAATGTCATGGTTATGTCAATGTCACTGTTACTGGCTGAGCACAGAATAAATGCATCTCCTGATGTCCTGATTGCGTCCTTTATCGAAATTGCAGTCCTAGTCTTTCCAAACTTTTTGTGTACCCTCTTTCTAACCTTTCTAACTCATTTATGATCCTTTCTTTAAAAATCTGTTTGCCTTTATCTGTGCTACTTTTTCCATATTAAAATGTAATTAAGCTCATTCACTACAAATACATTTTCCATGTTACCAGTACAATTAAAAGTGACTTGGATAAAGCTTTTCATTTCCTTTCTACACAATTAGCTCAATTTATCATGATTGATATTGTCTCATTTCCCTACCCCTCAAAAGACTGACTAGCTAAGAGAAAGAAATTGCAGCCATTCCAATTATGTCTCTAAATATCCTGCAAAATATCTAGGATGGGTATTTTTCTTCTGTAAATAGCTTTTAAGCTTTGAAACAACAGAGGGAGAGATGCAGAGTAAAAAAAAATAGGCTTAGAGAAGGAAAAAATAAACGGAAAAGATCTACACAACCAAGAAATGATAAAAGGTAGAACGTGTGTGTGGGGTCGGGTGGGGGAGATGGTTTGGATAGAACTAAAAAGGTTCCCAGAAGAGGGGCCGTTAACAGGACTAGAATTTAATCAGTCATAGGGTAGGGATAGGAGCTGGAGTTCGAATTCTGTTTCTCCCAATTTCACCCATAGTGATGAATGACAATTAACCACGGCCTGGAACAAGTTTTTCCATCTAAAAAATGAACTGCCTGAGGACTAAAAACTGACACCAATCCTTCTCCAAGGGGTGGGGAAGATAATAAATGGAAATCTCTCCACAAAAAGTCTCTTTATCTCTCTGCTCTATTTTAAGAGCAAGATTTTTAGGGCATAATTTTCAACAAGTTTTGGCTGAGACTGAACACAGGGCTCAAAGATAGTTCAGGACACTCAGTGAAGAGGCCAATTACTTCCTAACACATAATGGCCTAAACACACTACGGTCACATAATTGGGTAATAAAAAAATTACTACCAGAAAGACTTACCTGTTCGCAAAGCAGCGCTGCATGATCTTCAGTGAAACGCGCTGCAGGAACCCAAACTGGTAGGTAAACTATCAGGGAGGCTAGGGTAACTTGCCCGTCCATTCCCCTCGGGGCACATTCTACCTGGGACGATGTCTCTCCGGGCCTCCTTTCTCCCGGGCCCGACCTCAGGACTTTCTGGGAGCTCGGGGAAGACCAAGAGCGGTAGGGAGCGGAATCGGTGGAACAGACACCTACCCACCCTTCCCACTCCCCGCTCGAGGCGCCAGGAGAGCAGGAACCCCGCCAGCTCAGCGCGGACGCCCGCAGAGGGCGCGGAACCCGGGGAGGACGGATGCGGCGCGTGCATCGCGACCCTCAACTCCGCCGCTGCCACCTCCTCTCGCGCTCTTCCCCGACCCGCTCACCTCCGCGCCCTCCGCGCCGGGCAGGGGCGGGCCTGGCAGCTCTCCGGGTGGGGCGCCGACTCCCCAGGGGCCCGCCCGGGCTCCAGGGCCTAGGGATTGTGCCTCCGACTCGCGGCTGCAAGGTGGCTGCCGCGGCGGTCGCGCTCTGGCGGCTTCCCCGCCTCCCCAAGCGGGATCGCGTCGAGCGGAGAGGAGGAGGAGGAGGAGGGAGAGACGCGCGCGGGGCCCGGCCTCGCCGTCACGCGCCGCTTGGGGCTGCGCGCAGGGAGCGCGCCGGGCGCCGAGCCGGCCCCGGGAACGCCGGCTGGAGAGCCTGGCGGGCGAGCGGGGAGAGCAGTGGGGCGCAGGGAGGAGTTGGGGAGATCGGAGGGGTTTAGGGGAGGGCGTGGGGGAGACTTGGGGAGGACGAAGAGCGCCGAGGGGGTCGAGTAGTGCAGCGGGGAGACCCGGCTGCGCGGCTCCACAGTTTTGAGCCCCCCCGCCCCAACTGGGAGCAGCTGAGTATCCGCCCCTCGCCTGCGCCCACCTGCAGGGCTCCCCCAGGATTCCTTTTGAAGCAGCTCTGGAAAAATCAAGCCCACTTTTCTACTCCACTGCCTTTGTGCTGTGTAGTCGTCTTTCCACTCTAGACTCTAAGCCCCCCCTCCCCCCTACCACTGTTGCCTCGTCCCTTCTCTCCTGACAAGTCTCCAAGAAACTGCTGTTTTTCTCCTGTACGTGTTCTTTCTCTCACCTCTACCCACCCAAACCATCTTTTGGCTGGACTGGTCCTTGGAGTAAAATGTTCAGAAATGCCCTTTTCAGGAACCACATTTTAAAACTCCCTCGGATGGGAGGATCCTCTCAGCCGGCGGACTGTTGATCAGTCTGTTGACTTTGACCTTCACTGCTTCGCTGGTGCAGCGCAAGCCGTGGCGTTGGGGAAAAGAGAGGTAGGCCGAGAGTCAGGCAGACCTGTGTTCCTGCGAAAGCCATGTAACTCCCGGGGCCGCAATGGCCTTGAGTATTCAGGGGATCTCTGAGCTGTAAGGGCACCTTTGGCTCTGGGATTCTGTAATTTTCTCCCTGCAGATTACCAAGTAGTCAGGTATCCTTTATCTTTTGTGTAGAAGGTATCAGTAGAAGCAGCAAGAAATCTTTATTCTCAGATGTAAAATCAATTTACTGAAAATTCTCAAATTCAGGGAAAAATTTTTTTTCATACGTTATTAAATTCCCATTTCAGCAAATTAAGTTTAAAAATTCTCTCTCCCGGTGGTTTATTAACCAGGAAGAAAACCGAGAAGGGGGTCTGGGGTCGATCATTAGACGCTGCACTTTCCCCTCGGCAGTCCATGCACAGATTAACCTTTGCAAATGCTGCTTTCGAAATACATCCTTTGTTTGACTTGACATGTGCCCCTTCCCCCACCGCTAATATTATTAAGGTTTAAAGTTTAGGCGTAGACTAAGCTTTTAGTGATGTGTCAGGCGGTGGGGGCATTGGAAGCTGGTAAAATTCTTTCCATTTTGGTAACAGGAAAAATGTGAATCAAATGTTATATCAATTTTTACTATTTGACTTCACTACTCTCAAATAATGAAATTGACGTTTTTTTCTAGCACTTCTACTCGAGGACAAGTGGAGGAAATTCATGAACCATAGCAGTTAATGAAAAGTATGTAGCTTTAAAAGAAAAATAGCATTATATAACTTTCGCAAAGGGTTATTAAAAGATATGGCATTATCTAACTATTCTAACACCATAAATTATTGTATAAAACATGTAGGTAAATCGTATATTTTAAACATTTTTAAAAGCTATCTTAATATAGATATAGGCTCTGACAATCCAAAAGAAAAACCAACCAAACAAATAATATGTAAAATCACTTATCTGAAAAGAGAATCAATGAGTCAATAATTTGCAATTTCCAGAAGGAATATTTGCTTTTCATACATGAACTATTAAAATAAGCAAACATCCTTGATGGAAAATCTCATGTTGCCAAATGTGTTACAAAAGATTGTTGGTGTTCATGCAAAGTATGATTCCTCACAGATTATCCCATGGTTACTGTAAATTTTACTACTGTTTTTCAGTTGGAGTTTCAGAGTGTAAAAGTGATTTCGCAAGATTTTTCCAGGTCATGACGTGCTCTCTGAGAAATGTCTTCGGTTTCCTGAAGTAGTAATTGATTCCACTGAAGCACGACAATAATTTATTAAATGGATCGCCTTAACACAACTTTTTCTTTGAAGTTATTATACAATTGAATAACTTTAGAGTGGTAGTTCCCCAAGTGTGTAACTTCAAGCACTGGTCCCTCCAGATGCTCCTTCAGTAATTCATGTACTGCAAAAATATTTATTGAGCTCCTGCTATATACCCCTGCTGAGGCACTAGGAACAATAGTGAAGAACACAGATATAGCTACCAGTCCTGATAGAATGTATAATTTGGTTGGGAAGATAAATTAGTAAACAAATACAAATAAGATTTACACAAATTTGTATATATAAGTAAAATAAGTGTAAATCATGATGAAAATAACAGAGAGATAAGTAATAATAAGAACCTCTTCATTTTAGAGATTCACAATGTATATTAATGGATTAAAGGCTTTGAAAATATCTACAGTAAAGATATTTACTTAGCCTATTCCTGATAAACTCCCAAATTTGTTTTGAACACTGAAACTTTGTGAGCAATACTTATTAATAAAATAGAACCGTTTTTTGTGAAACACTGCTTTTTTGAAATCAAAGACTCCAATAAACATAAAATTCTATTAATGTTACCTTCCATTTATTTGTCAATGTACATTCATGTATTTTAATAGTTTTATAAATATACATATAATCTGTTTGAAATAGATTTTGTTTGAAGAGAAAATGATATAGAAATATTTGTAAATACATTCATATATTTTAATAGATTTATAAGAATAAATATATTTTTATAGATTTTGTCTGAAGACAAATGACATAGAAACATTTATAAATCTATTTGAGTATATGAATGTACATTTGTATAAAACATATTTTGTAGTTAACATTGTTTCATGAAAATTTCCATATATCAACATGGTCCAGATACTCATAATTCTTAATTGATATTTAGTCCATAATATTGGTACAGAATAATTTTCTTAACCCTAAGCTTTAGGAGAATACATTTTCTGATTCTTATACTATTATAATTAGCACTGCTTTAACCGCTTTGGGGTAATAAACTCTGATATCAGTTCTCTATCAAACACTTATGTGTATTTTTAAAAAAATGATTATCTTAAAAATTTCAGTATAAGCAGGTTTGATTCTGGCTCTCATGGGTGACCACCTTATAACTGAGTACAACCGTGCAATTTCAGAGCCCATGTTTTTTGCATTTATCATTGCGTTGGTGCCTCACGGTATCATCCTGTTAAGCCTTAATGAGAGAACTCTTTACAGTTGAATAATAAAAAGACAATCCAATTATAAAATAGTCAAAAGATTTGAATACACATTTCTCCAAAGAAGATATGCAAATAGCCCATAAGCACATGGAAAGATGCTTGAGACTATTAGTCCTTAAAGAAATGCAAATCGAAACCACACGAGATATAACTTCACACCCACCAGAATGGCTATAATCAGAAAGTCGGTTTCACAACACCAAGTGTTGGTGAGGAAGTGGAGCAATTAGAACTCTCATACATTGCTGGTGGGAATGTGAAATGGCGCAGCTACTTTGGAAAACAGTTTGATAATTGCATTCCTGGGTATATACCCAAGAGAATTGAAAACGTGTCTGCGGAAAAACTTACATTCAAATGTTCATTGAAGTATTATTTATAATAGCTGAAAAGTGGAAACAACCCAAATGTCTATCAATTGATGAATGTATAAATGAAATGTAGTATATCCATACAATGGGATATTATTCAGATATTATTATAAAAAGGAATGGAGTACTGATACAAACTACAACATGTATGAATCTTGAAAAATTATGCTAAGTGGAAGGTGCCAGACACAAAAGCCCCTAGAGGTTATGCTTCCATTATGTAAAATGTCCAGAATAGGCAAATCCATACAGACAGAAAATAAATTAGTAGTCGCTAACCTACTGGCTGGTAGGGAAGGGAATGGGGGAATGGCTGCCTAATAGGTAAGAAGTTTCTTTTTGGTGTGATGAAAATATTCTGGAGTCAGATAGTGGTGATTGTTGCACAACTTTGTGAATATACTAAAAACCACTGAATTGTACACTTTAAAAGAGTGAACTTTATAGTATGTGAACTATATCTCAATAATAAAGAAAAAATAGTAATCAGGAATTGTCTGAAGAAAAAAAACAACAAAGAGTAAACAGATGTAGACTTAATTTGTAACAAGGCATTCCCTTTAGTTGAAGACCAAACGATATTAATTTGTGCTCTAGCAATGTATATTTAGCAATTGACAGAAGAGAAAAAAGTGATGGGAGAGATTAGTTACTGTCCAGCTCACTGTAATTTTTTTTTTTTTTTTTTTTAATTTATTTATTTTTCCCCTAAAGCCCCAAGCGATAGTTGTAAGTCATAGTTGCACATTCTTCTAGTTGTTGTAT